CTGATAGACTGGCTAAGCCCTGAACAAGAGAGGGCAATGTCCTTTCACCACTGGTTCCCACTGGTTTCCAGATAAACAACCCTTGATCCAGATGACCTTTGTAACAGAGATGATGTATGCCAGGGTCTTGTGTTCAAGAGGGGTGGGGCAGGTCACTTTAGTGAGCAGAGCTGGTGATGGGAACGCACATGTCCCACCCTAAGGGCAGCTATTGGACTCTCAGCCTCTGCTGAGGGTGTCCCTTTTGGAAACGCAGGCCGGAAGTTGCTCCATCTGCTGTTTAATCAAGACAAGCTATTGATCTAATCTTCAGGTGAAATCCCCCCGATTCTTAGTTCAAATCTTTACAAAACACATGGTGTGGGCCAATGAAAACTCACATTTAGGCCTTGTCCTCTTATTGACACCTGGTAGGTGATTATCCAGTCCTCTATTAGCAAGGGGAGTTCACTGTGAAAAAGGGCCTGGAAGAAAAATATTCTAAATTATCCTTGATTGGTGAAGTATGAATAATACTTCTTTTATTAATTTCATTGTTGACCATGAAGTGTTACGGTTTGTGTGATTTTTTAAAAAAAGATTTACTTATTTGAAAGAGTTATAGAGAAAGAAAGGAAGAGGCAGAGAGAGAGGGAGGGCTTCCATCCACTTGTTCACTCCCCAGATGGCTGCGATGGCCAGGGCTGAACCAGGCCAAAGCCAGGAGCCTGGAGCTTCATCCAGATCTCCCACATGGGTGGCAGGGGCCAAACACTTGGGCCAACTTCTGCTGCTTTTCTATTAGCAGGAGGCTGGGTTGAAAGTGGAGCACCCGGGGCAGAACCGGTGCTCACATGGGATGCTGGTGTCACAGTCGGCAGGTTTACCAGCGACACCACAACGCGGGCCCCCTTGTATGATGTGTTCATAATGACCAGAATCATTTCCAGGTTTGCAAACTCTCCGCCCTCCCACCTCCACCCCTTCTCTCTGCAAGCAGTTCCAAGAGACCCTGCTTGTGTCAAAGAGGACTGCAAGGCATCCGCCAGGCCTCTATTCACAGGTTGGGTACATTTCTCCCAATGGACCCGACTCAAAAACTCCCAAACTGGCATTATTCATAGCTTGCCTAACTTCAGACTGGACCAAACGATGGGGGATGTCTCTGCTCACCAGATAATATAGCATCGGTATGTGGCGAATCCTTAAATACGCTTTGAAACTCTCCAATGTTTAACACTTAGAAAAATTCAAGGTGGGCTGACTGATGTGGGAGAGCCCGCTGCATTCCTGTTGGGGCAGACGTGAACTCCACAAACATTTCTTGAGCATTTACTGAGTCAGGTACTCTCAACACTAGGGACAAGGGACCCGTGCCTGTTGACATTCCAGAGCCTTGAACACCCATTCATTGAATGCATGTGTTTATTGAACTCCTACTATGTGCTATGCCCAGTGCTTTGGAGTATTTGAATATTTTACATCCTAGACATTTATATCCCAAACCTGCCTGATTTCAGATAACCTCTGCTGTCTCCTAGCTGAATGAGTTAGCCCTTCTGTGCCTCAGTTTCCCCCCTTTATAACCTGGCCACAGTAAAATGACTTATCTACCATGGTGGCCGGGAAGATTTCTTGAGTGAATATGCATGAAGCAGGCTGGGATTTAGGAAGTACACAATTTATTCTAAGTGTGGTTGTTTCCATTGTTGGAAAACTCTTATGAAACTCTTCTGCCTTCTCAAGAGTTTTGGCCTTATCTCTGGGTTTCCAGAGCACACAGAGGTTATTGTATGTCAGCAGGGAGTGGCTCCCCACACACGTACTTCCCCAAGGCCCTCTGACCCGCACAGCCTCATGCTGAACTCTAGCACAGAAAGTCAGAAATGATGTCTGGGTGAGATACAGAGAACAGCACTTACAACATGCTGGCTCCTGTGAGAGGCACTCTGTCTCAGTGAATCCAGGGGGACCCAGGAAAGGGTATTAACATAACCCCATTCTGCCCACAAGAAAGTGGTGGCTTCTTGTGGTTCTATGTGTTCTTCCCAAGGTTCATACATGGAAGAATCTTAACCAAGGTGTTTGGATGATGGTCATGAGAGCAAACTCTCCATCTAGCAACACTGCGTGTGTAAGTGCCTGACAATCACACACACACACACACACACACACACACACAAGGCACCATGTTATTTTTTAAACAGATGTGTATAGTCATTGCTGCTATGCACTTCTCAAATATTTACTGGTGCTGGGACCATGGTGAAGCTCATTTTGCAAGCAAGCAAGCTGAGGCAGAGACAGGTTCAAGAACCTCTCCAAGGCTGCTCAGGTTGCAATGGGAAGGTCAGGCTTGTACCCGATGGTCTATGCTATTCTACTCACAGGTAAGCACAAGCAGATGGTCTCCCATGAACTTTATTAATCCACTGCCAAATGAAATCAACCCCTGATGCAGTTGAGGGAGTTTTATTGGAGAGGATTATTGCAGGGTCTGGGGGGGTGAGGATGCTAGCAGTCACGGGAATGCTCTGGCCATATGAGCTGCCAGTATCTCAAGGATTCGGCAGAAATAGCTTTACTTTTAGAAGAAGAAATAACTAAGGGTAGACAGAAGGTGGAAGACCACTGAGGCGGGATTAGATAGTAGGTGGAAGAGTATTTGACTCTGAGGCTTTCACAGAAGGTATTGGCTGGCGGCTGGCTCAGGCTGAGAGTGGACCAGGACCCTGGGAGGGGAGGCAGAGGGAAGAATCCACGCCAAAGTTAGGTTAAAATGCTTGTTCCAGCTGGTCAGTGGGAACAGGAAGTGCAGCTAATCACTTATGAGACAAAGAGGGAATGTGGAGTCTCTGGGTCACTGGGGATGGAGGGAGCAGCTCTGAGTCTCCTCTGAGGGAGGTTCTCTGCAGAGAATGAGGAGTTCTTAACCGCTGCTGTCTTCCTGGGACCACGTGACTGCCTCAAGTTCAACATGATCGTCACCGAGTTTGCAGCTGGTACTGTTACGTGCCAGGCCCTCTGGAGGAACTGTCCGAAGGCAGTCGGATTCCAGGCTCAGGAAGCCAGTCAAGGGCACTGCCTTCAGGAATGCCCGCGAGATCCTTCTCTACTCAGAAAAAATGGCATCAAGGTCACGATGTCTTCTCCCATATCTGCCTTGCTGCTGCTCTAACTTAGCAAGTTTACAAGGCTCACCTTGTTGTAGCAGGTACAGGCACTTCATCCCTTCCTGTAGCGGAATACTATTCCACTGTGTGGATAAATCACACGTGTAACCCACTCATCAGTTGATGGACAGTTGGCCAGTTTCCCCTTGTTGCTGTTGTAAATGCAGCTGTTGTGTGGCTCTGCACTTTCATTTCTCTTGGGTAGACACCAAGGAGCATGGGCCGAACTGTACTGAAGACTGCTGGGAGGAAAAGGCAGGCCGACCGTGGTTCTATCAGGCACAGTCAAGGGGTGGAATTACACAGGACAAGTGTCATCTTAAGGACCCTGAGGTTAGAGGAAGCTCTGGCACCCATGCTGGGAGCACACCCACAGAATCCCTGAATGCATCAAAGTGAGGGCTGCGAAGTGCGGGGTTCAGGTTTCCCATGTGGATGTGAGCAGCAGGTGATGGGCTCCAGGTCCCCAGGCACCTCCTGCCTCCGCTCACTCAGATACAGGAGAATGTGGCTGCTCCAGTACGGTGGTCATGGACTTGGATTTAGGATCTGACCAGAGCCCCCGACTGCTGTCAAGGGAAGTCCCTCAAGGCTTAGAGGACAGACCACATCACACAGCCAGCATGAAACAATTTCTCATGGCCAGAACCGAGGAGCTGAGTGAACAATTGCATGGTTATTACAGAGAGACTCAAAGGCGATTTTATGTCTGTGCCTTCATCTTTGGAATCCCGGGTGTCTGTGTTCTGCCCTTGTGGGTGTAAAGCATTTTTCCAGGTTCCATCACATCCTCCCAGCTGGTTGGCCAAATTCCCATCTCAGATTCTGGGTGAGCTAACACATATTTGATATGTCACATTACGTTGACCCTCACAAAGCAACGTACGTGGGGCTCTCTATCTGATTTCTACTCTCGTTTTCTTTCTACACTTGATATCTATTCTGCAACTCTGGCGGGGGGCTGTGTAGAGGGGAAAAGGCCTGGGGTGAGGAGCAGCACAGGTGCCATCAGCTTCATCTCCTGCAATCCACGATGAGCTGGCCCCTGGGGCACGTGCCCATTCCTACTCAAGGTCTTCAAAACACAAAATCAGCTCCCATGTTGTTTTGTAATGGAAATATTTGTGGATTTTACAGAATGATGAAGGCTCACATCCTACAAACACTACACAGCAGAGATACTTGTTTAAAATTCCCATGAGATGCTCCGGTTTCCTCCCCAACCCCATGTTCTTTGGCCGCTGGCCACTCCTGGGCCCCTCAGCTGTCTTGCTCCACCCACAGGTACTCGCCCTGGGCAGTCCTACCTTATACCCCCCCCCCCTTTTTTTTGACAGAGTTAGACAGTGAGAGAGAGAGAGAGAGAGAAAGGTCTTCCTTTTTCTGTTGGTTCACCCCCCAGTGGCCACTACGGCCGGCGCACTGCGCCGATCCAAAGCCAGGAACCAGGTGCTTCCTCCTGGTCTCCCATGTGGGTGCAGGGCCCAAGGACCTAGGCCATCCTCCGCTGCCTTCCCGGGCCACAACAGAGCACTGGATTGGAAGAGGAGCAACTGGGACAGAATCCAGCGCCCTGACCGGGACTAGAACCCGGGGTGCTGGTGCTGCAGGTAGAGGATTAGCCTAGTAAGCTGTGGTGCTGGCCTATTTCCCCTTCTTTAGGATGAGAAATGTATCTGTCATGCCTTCTCTGCCCATTTCTCCACTTAGCAAACCAAGCATCTCCCCAGGACCCCTTGTCTTAGCGCACAGGCAAGACAGTGAACACTGCGTGATGTTTCCCTTGTTACGTGATGTTTCCTGTCCCTGTGGTCCCAGCTCACATCATCTTGCCTTAACCCTCTGCAGGCAGCGACTGTGGGCTTGGCCATGCTATCTGCAAGCACCTGGACAAGATGGGCTTCACGGTGTTCGCCGGGGTCTTGAACGAACAAGGCTCCGGGGCAGAGGAGTTGCGAAGGAGCTGCTCCAGTCGCCTGTCTGTGCTCCAGATGGATGTCACCAAGCCTGAGCAGGTCAAGGAGGCTCACAGCAAAGTTGTGGAAAAGGTGCAGGACAAAGGTACTGCCCTTCCTCTCCTCACTGCCACCCTGCTCTCGCTCCAGCCTCTGATGCTGTGTCCTCTACTCCACCCTGGCCACTGAGGACACCTGTGCTGGCCGGGGCCTAGGGGCCACTAAGACGTTAGGAATGACTCGGATATGTCCTGTCTTCAATGAACTCTCAGAATTCCCTATCCCTGGCCCTCGCCCACCTTCTTGGCCACCCTTGCGTGAATTACCTGCTCAGCCCTCATGGCTTTCCTTCCTGCAGCATTAACAGGCGTTAGATTCCCCCAACCTGCACAAACACACGATGGGGTCACTGCCCTTTCTCTTCTCTGCTCTCAGGGCCGAGTTCTCTGGAGCCCAGCTGTTCTCTGATCTTTTCTTCCTCACCCTGAGTTTGTCGTTGCCTCTTGCGGTGCCTCCCTAACTGATCTGGCAAAGCTCATAGCACTACCCCAAGACCAAGTTTGCAGCTCATCTGCAGCATGAAAACATGTGGATGACACCCAACATGTTGATGACACCCTAGGCTTTGGGGCCCCCTCACCCTACTGCCTTCCTGGCTCTCCAGTCCTTCTTTCTGCTTCCTCCATCCATGTCCTCCTGACACAAGTGCTTCCAGGGCTCTAACCCCAAACCCCTGCCTGCTCCACATACCCTAGTCTGTGTTCTTCTCTCCCCCTAGACCAGAGTTCACAGGCCAGGTGCACGCTGAAGTCACCCAGGGAGTTTCTGCAACTACCCGTGCCAGGGCTCAGGAAGAGCTGTGCAACTCAGGGGACCGTAAGAAAATGAGATGCAAACATCAAGTCCCTTGTTTAGAAAATGATGAAGAATTTCAGATGGGAGCAGCAGAGAATGAAACCCAGTGTGGGGCCCTTCTGAAGCTCTGGGCCCTGTGTGACTGCACTGTTCCCTCCCCTCTGGCATCCTCCTGCCCGGGTGCCTCCACCCCCAAACCCAGTGTCCCAAGGAGGGTGTCCCGGCTCTCCTTTTTTAAGGGTCCCTAGCTGAGGCTAATGTTTAACCAGTCAGGAACCCCTGATCCATGCTCGTAATTTCAAGTCTCTGTTACCAACCTAGCTCTTTTTTGACACACCTGGCCCTACAGGCATATGACTTGTCCACCAGGTGTCTCCACTCGTATCCCAGAGGCAACCTCAACCAGTTAAAAACTGACCTCATTGCCTTCCTCCTCTGCTGCACAGCAGTCCCCTGCCCTGTGTTCTAGGGCTGGGGTGCTGCCCCTGCCATCCAAGCACTCATTCAGGCCAGCAATCTGGTGATCACCGAGACCCACAGCTTACCCTCCACCCCTGCACCCTGTAGGCTCTGAGTCCAGTCGATTCCACCCCTTCCATGTGTATTGTCCACCCCCTTCCCTCCTGGCCACTGTGGGGAGCACAGGCCCTCGTTATCTCGCTTCTAGGTAGCCCAGTGGCCTCACTGTAACCTGATGTTGCCAAAGAGAGCAGTGTTTGTAAGGCGCTCATCTTTCAACACCAGCCACCCCCATACAGAGCCTCCATGTGCTGGGTTCCTCCCACAAGCCAGGTCTGTGGACGGCCATTAACTTTGTCAGTTGTTCAGTGACTGATGCAGAGGCTTCCACCTCAACAAGGATCATGACCCTGCCAAACCCTTAATCCGCAAGACCTGCTGGTCCACTTAGTCAGTTCTCCAGTTTCCAGAACAGAGCATGGTGTCTCACATCCCTGCACATCCAGAAGCCTCTTCCTGGCACTTCCCTCTCCCTTTTTCCCCTAAGATTCTTGCTTTGTGTAACAGCAGACACCACGCCCACAAGAGACCCGACTCACCCATAGCATCTTCTGCACGGCTTCCCTGGTGATCCGGGTTGCACTATCACATTCCCTTCCGGACACTCTCATTATGCCTTGCATACGTCTCTAATGTTGCAATATTGTAAGTATCTGTCCATCCCCCCACACGGACAACAAGAACCATGAAACCATGCGTCTGTCAGGATTCTTTCAGATCCAGGCGACACAACTCAGTCGAAAAACGCCAAAGCCAAAAAGGGAATGCATTTGCTTAAACATTTGAAAAGACTTGTTGAAAACGGCCCTCAGAAGAGTCCCGGGCACAAGGCAAGCCCTCAGGAAAGGTTCCTCTTTTCCACTCATTCAATATTAAGCAGAGTCCTCAGCATTGAGTTAATATTTGGTGAACATATGATAGACGAGGGGAAAGAGAAAAAATAGATTCCTGGTTAAGAGGAATTTGGCAAATTTAGCAATAAGCAATCGTATATTCTACAACGGCAGTTCTCCCAATCTGGTCGTTTGCTATAGCATTGGGCTTGTCTTTTTTATGGGTCTGACTTCATGGTGTTTTATTTAAAGGGTCATCCAATTGAGATCCTTTTAAGAGGCCCAGAAGGGCCATACCGATCATCTGAAATGACAGAGCAGGGGGCTCTAGATATGGAGATCCTGTCACGGTGTCTATGTGGTGAAGAGTCATGGTACACAGTTCCCCGGGGATGAGCCCCTGCAGCTTTGTGCCCAGCATTCCGGACATGGAGGGCCAGTACCCCTGCCTGCTCTTCTCAGGGTCTCTCTGAACATCAGCCTCCCAAGCCAGACAAACTGGAGTAGTGGAGCAGGAGCGTTTAAGATCATTGAGAAGCATTTGTTAATGAGCCCCCTGGGACCTTCAGATAGTTGAGAAAAGCTCTGTTCCCCTAAGAGGTCAAGCAACTGTGTCGTGCGCCTACACAGCACTGATCAAGTTAGAGTTCATGAACGGCTGATTGTTAACTAATATTAGTGATTACTTTACTGTTATGAAGACCTACAGGTATAATGGGCTCATTGGCCAGCACAGAATTCTATGACAAGGGTTGGCAGATGGTGGCGTCCTGTCCCCACCAGCCTCTCTCACACCACCTTGTCATTGCCATGCTCTTGTCCCCAGATCCCAGCAAACCCTAATCTGTCCTCTCCTTCTTTAACTTTGTTATTTAAAGAATGTTATCTAGACCCACCACCCGATTTGGGAGCTAAGAATTGGTTTTACACTTTTTAAAATAAATGAGATTTTTGACATATGAAAACTACATAGAATTCAAATGCCAATGTCCATAAATAAAATGTCACTGGCATACATTTTTGTGGAGCCTGCGTCTGCTCTCACACCATGATGGCAGCAGGGCCTGCAAAAATAAAGCTTTTACTACCTGGCCTTTTACAGAAAAATGTAGCTGACCCTCATTCTAGAACATTCTCAAGCTGCGTGTTGCTTGGTCAAGGGTGTGCATCAGGCTGGACAGACTGAAACCTCTCTACTCTCACCATCCTAAACCTGGTGAGCTTTTTTTTTAATATATAAGATGTATTTATTTATTTGAAAGTTGAAGTTACACAGAGAGAGGAGAAGCAGAGAGAGGTCTTCCATCTGTTGGTTCACTCCCCAGATGGCTGCAATGGCCAGAGCTGCACTGATCTGAAGTCAGGAGCTTCTTCCAGGTCTCCCACGCAGGTGCAGGGGCCCAAAGACTTGGGCCATCTTCTACTGCTTTCCCAGGCCATAGCAGAGAGCTGGATTGGAAGTGGAGCAGCTGGGACTTGAACCAGCGCCCATGTGGGATGGCAGCACTGCAGGCAGCGGCTTTCCTTGCTACGCCACAGCGCCAGCCCCAAAGCTCTTGAGCTCTAACTGCCTGCCAGGCACCATCTCACTGGATGCTCATCATCACTTTGTGTCAGGATCAGGCCTTCCACTCCGATGTGCAGGAAGTGTGGTTTTATCTTCTGCAGGTCGGCTCAGTTTCTATTTTGAGCCTTCTACCATGTGGCAGGAACCAGAATTCTGAGCCTATGCCGTTTCTCTTAGGAAGGGTGGACATTCCTGGAGACGAGGCACTTGGTCTTCGGTGGTTAGCACTTGGTGTGCGCCCCAGCTGAGATGCCCAATGCTGTACACAGTCCTCATGCAGGCTGTCTGCTCCCCATTCCTCTCTGCCACCAGACAGCCTCATTGGGGCTGGTGCCTTCCCTTTCAGCACGAGCGCTCACTTGGCTTCTATGCCAGGTCCTCCCTCTTGGGCCTGCATCACAGCCTTGCACATGTGTTGTGTCACAGATGCCTCAATAGCATTTCCTGATCAATAGTTTCTGATCCAGCAGGTCTGCAAGGGGGTTTAATAATTTGCATCTCAAACAAGTCATTAGTCAATAGGGCTGTTAGTGGTTAAGGGACCCTCCAGCCCACACCATTCTGGGGCTCTGGGAACTCAGGTCTACCTAGCTACAAAAACCTTGGAGACTATGATCTCCACTTCTCTCAGTTAAAAAGATCCAGCTCGCTCACCTCTGCTCCAGACACTGGCTGGAGTTTTTGTATTATCTCTTTCCTACCATTTAGAGAATGACTCCTACACCTGGCTGTACATTGGACCCCCTGGGGAATTTTGAAAGCTATTAGTGTTCATGTCTCTTCTCTACCCCAAATCCCGAATTCCTGATCTAATAGGCTGGGATATGGCCTGGGTTTGGGGATTTTTAAGTCACATAAGTGGTCCTCGTGGGCAGGGAAGGTTGAAAGCCATTCCTGTGGGGCAGTGTGCTAAGAATGTTCTGGGGGCCGGCGCCACGGCTCACTAGGCTAATCCTCCGCCTTGTGGCGCTGGCACACCGGGTTCTAGTCCCAGTCAGGGCGCCGGATTCTGTCCCGGTTGCCCCTCTTCCAGGCCAGCTCTCTGCTGTGGCCCGGGAGTGCAGTGGAGGATGGCCCAAGTCCTTGGGCCCTGCACCCCATGGGAGACCAGGATAAGTACCTGGCTCCTGCCATTGGATCAGAGTGGTGCGCTGGCCGCAGCGCGCCAGCCATGGTGGCCATTGGAGGGTGAACAAACGGCAAAAGGAAGACCTTTCTCTCTCTCTCTCACTGTCCACTCTGCCTGTAAAAAAAAAAAAAAAAAGAATGTTCTGGAATGGCAGCATCATAATGCCCTGGGAACATATTAGAAATACAGGTCCTCCTGCCCCACCCAGATACCCCAGCTCAGAATTGCTGGGGCTGGGGTCCACAATCTGCATTTGATGGCCGTCAAGGGGTTCAGAAAAAACAACCCAGAGACTCTACCAGGGACCCTACAGTCATCCCAGGTCTTGGAACTTCCCTTTCCCTTTCCATTTCCTGTTCAAGTATAGGGATAAGGGAAGAGAGGCTCCTGGATCATCCTGCATTGTCCTAAAGATAGTATTCTAGTCCCTATAAGGTGGGCTTTTGACTTTGAAGTCAGGATGATTACTGCCCTTCTCTTGCCGACAACTCTTTCCCATGTACCAGAAACATCCAGCTTCCAGGGTGTAGGAAAAGGCTTCGAGCAAAGGAAGGAGTATGCAAAAACACCACTGCTTAATATTGCACACACCGATTCCCCACACAGCTGCCCGAGGTAAGTAGTCTTAGTCGTTCAGGGAGACTGAGGTTGGAGTTTGGGATCTGCCTAGATCTCGCTCCAGAGCTTGAAGTGTTAAAAACCCTCACACTCTCTCATCTTGCCTGTCTCCAAGTCTGTTGCTTTCTGTCCCCAGGGCTGTGGGCTGTGATCAACAACGCTGGGATCTTTGGCTTCCCTGCAGACGGGGAGCTCATTCCCATGAATGAATACAAACAGTGTATGGCCGTGAACTTCTTTGGAGCTGTAGAAGTCACAAAGACATTTTTGCCTCTGCTTAGGAGATCCAAGGGGAGGCTGGTGAACATCAGCAGCATGGGAGGTAAGTTGACCTTTTCCGCCACGGTCGTAGGGTGCCCGGCACAAGACAGGGCTGGCTGCATTCTTTGGGGGCTGAACCAGAATGCAATGCAGGCAAAGGCAGAGCTGGCTCAGCATTCATTAGATTGTAGATCCACTGTTGAACTTAATACAGTAAAACCTTTCTCTCCTTTTAAGTCCTTTTGTGCACAGAATCTTGTAAGTAGTGCACTCACTGCTGGGGATTTAGGATTCTTACATATTTTCACAATGTGACTGCCAGCATCCAAGCTCCCTAGATTTGGATGGGTATCAAGTTCTACCGCAAACAGCAGCATTGGCAGCTGTGGGTTCTCACCCCTCTCTGAGCTCAGCCAGCTCTGAGGCTGAGCTGGCAGTTACCTTCCCTGGCTTTGTACTGTCAGGACTCTGGGGTCTGCCTGCTTTTGTCCCCAGCATTATGCAGCCTCAACACAGCTAGGCCGGGATGGGGGCACTTTATGACTTGTCTTTCCACCTCAAAGAATAGTCAACACCTTGAGTCAAGAGCCAGCCAATCTCCCTTGCCATCAATGTTGCCCAAGCACATGAGATCACATCATTCCTTCCATGGCAGATGCTTTAAAACCGGGGTCCCCTGGAGCCTTCCCCAGCTTTGGGGTTGTCTGTTGGGTCCCTGCAGGCATGAGTGGGGATGCAGGACTCTAGGATTCTCTCTCCCAACAGACACATACTATTCCTCGTTGAAGGGTCACTTGGTTTTAAGGAAGGTTTTATATAAAAGCATTCAACCAGATGTTTTTTGTTTGGCTCGTTTTTGGTATGTGTGTGTGTTTTACAGTGTGAACAACGGTCTTGAAAGAATTCCTTTCTGAGATTCACTGCACTCCCTCAACAATGATTGCTGTTCATCACACTCCCTATCTGTCTGTACCTCAGTCACTTCCTTGAAACTAACTGCTGTGTCTTTGATTACTAGTCGGTTGGTCTAAGGCATAAGCAAGAGAAGTAGGGGGGAGAGGGAGAGGAGGAGGAAAAAGGGAGAGGAGGAGGAAAAAGGGAGAGGAGGAGGAAAAAGGGAGAGGAGGAGGAAAAAGGGAGGGGAAGAAGAATAAGGAGGAAAAAAGGGAGGGGAGAGAGAGAGGGAAAGAGGGAGAGAGAGACAGACATGGAGGGAGAAGGAAAGATGTTGTTTAGGATAGTTAGGAGCAATAACATTATCACATATGTTATGATAACATATAATAACATACAATGTTATCGCTCCTAACTTGTATGAGAACCGCCGAAGCATTTCCAGTTTCATGCTATCTTGCTGAAGCACAACAAATTCAGAGGAATAACACTTGCAATATCTTGCCCTAGGCTTTGTTCTCAACTAAGCCTTTATATTTTTGACCCCTAGAGAAGGTTTATGTTTCTCAGGTGCCGGGTACGGTCTGGAACACCTGTCAGGGTCTCACACGGTGCAGCCTCACTCATTCAGCCAGTGTTCCTGCAGTGACTGACCTCTGCCTTCTCCTCGGCACATAGAAGATGCTGTTTTTCTCCTTTTTCTCTTTGCTCCTGACTCGGAGCAGCTCATTCATTTCTAGGATTTTACTTTAGTTGCTGTTGATGTGGAGAACATTCGTATCTGCTAGAGGCCCAGTGTCTGGCAGGTGGCAGCTGTTACTAAATGAGGAAATGCAAGTGTGTGAAAATGAAGGGAGCGGTGGGTGAGTGAGGACTCCCAGTGCGGAGGATGGCCGTGTGCGTCTCCCGTTTGGCCTCTCAAGCTCTTTCCATGTGGTGTTCTGTCGTCATTTATTTCCACTGAAGGAAAACCTTGAGTGTTAAACTAAACCACGCATCTCACTCCTATTCTCAACCTCTCCTTGTGCAAATTCTTCACACTCAGCCTTACCATTTCCTTTCCGCTGTCTTAGGATCATCACCAAGTCCACACAGCTGCAACCAAACCTGCTGTCAGCCCGCACAGTTTGCCCTGCTGACTTCCTTCCTTCTTTCCGGCTTTTCAGGTGTCAGAGCTTTGAGCCGTCTCTGATGTGTGCATTCCTGTGCCTCTTTTTCCTACCCCATCAACAATTTTGGATCCTTAAGTCCCAAAGAAACTCCACAAATGAGCTCACCTGTGGGGCTCAGACACTACCCATGGTATTTTATGGCGTTGTTAAACAGCACCAAGAAATCAGAAGAGCTAGGAGGCGTATGTACCCGCCGGAACAGGGAGTCTGTAAGAAGGCCGTCACAGCCTGCTCTGGGTTGCTTTGCTTGCTCTTCCTGACAGAGGGCACAGATGGGACGGCTTAAGCAGCAGATTTCTTTTCTCATAGCTCGAGAGGCAAGAAGTCCCAGAGCGAGGCGTTTGCAGGGCTGGCTTCTCCTGGGGCCCGTCTTCTGGGCTTGCGGATCTTCATCACAAGCTCGCGTGTCATCCCTGTCAGCCCAAGTGTAGCCCTGACATCTCTACCTCCGCTGCCAGCGGTGCCAGTCATACAGAATCGGACTCTTTGGCTTCCTTGGAACTTCATCACCTGTTTCAGGGACCTATCTGCAAAGGCGTTCACGTACTAAAGCACTTAGGTGTTAGGGCTTCAACATGGGAATTTTGCTAGGAGGAAGGGGTGGGGGCGTAATTCTGTGCATAACAGCTTCTTAGATGAGGGACAAAGGGATTCAGCAGAGAACACAATGGAGGAAAACCTAGTCCGTACTAGAGGGTTTTTGAAAAACAGGAAAGATTTTGAGTGGGGAAAAAGAAAAGTTAGATTTTAACACAAAGACTAAGAAACTCAAAATATGTGTAAAAGGCACTAAGAACCAACAAATCCGCAAAAATTAACATCCAATGTGATGCCAGATCAGTGATGGACATCTTGATAATTTTGGAAAATGTGCTTTTTTGGAAGTGTGCTGCTGCTGTTATTTTTCTCATTTTGCAGCGGGGAGCTAAGAGAGGCAGGCAGTGACTACCAGCAGGGTTCTTCCAAGAGAGCATGGCTGCCCTGACCCACCACGTCACTCCAGCCCCCTGAGTGACAGGAATGCACGTGCTGCAGATTGATTGCAGGACTTTGACCAGCCAGGAGGAGCTGAGACAGAATGGGTAAATCTGCTTCTGTTGTTTGTGGCTGTAAATCAGATGGACCCCAAAATGAACAAAGGATGCTTGAGTAGGCACAAAAATGCCCCCCCCCAAAAGATAGCCACATCCTAATCCCTGGAACCTGTACCTTTGCAGTCTCATGTGGCAAATGGGACTGCATAGATGTGACAAGTGAAGGACCTACAGATGTCACTCTGGATGATCCGGGGGGAAGGGTTGGGGTGGGACTCAACCACAAAGGTCTGTGTAAGAGGGAGGCAGGAAGGTCACAGCTAGAGAGAGATTTGAAGATGAGGTGGGGGCCCTGAACCAAGGAACCAAAAGGATCACAGCTCCATTGACACCTTGAGTTTGGCTCACTGGGATGCCTGACCTCTGTAAGAGGAAGATACTAGATTTGTATTGTTGAAGCCACTAAGAGTGTGATGATTTATTACAGCAGCAATAGGAAACAAATACTCCTGGTCTGATCTGGAGATCAGGGCAAACATCTCTGGACCCACAGCAGTTTCTTTACATCCGCTTTCCCTTATGTCCATCGACCCCCACAAACAGCCATGGGCCTGGCCTTTCCAATACCCAACAGCGGCTGTCACATCAAGGCTCACCCTGCATCAGGCCGTATGAGCACTCCTCCAGGACATCTCCTGGTGGTTTTAATGGCCAGAGCGAGGTACTGGAGCTTGCTTGCTGCAGTGAGAAGTTTAACAACCCCATTTAGCTATCTCTATGGGTCAATATTTAATTATCTTCAGTTGGTGATATATTGTAGGTACCTCATCTCCTATTCCAAACATTTTCTTTTCCCCTAGTTTAAAGGCTATTCCTCTCTGGCTTCTATAAACCAGATTGGGTCACATAATCACATGCTTAATGTCTCTCCCAGGCAAGCAGTATAGCTTTAAACTCCAATCCTGACAAGGCAGTTGGATAAATATTTAACCCGGGATAACAGGAATTTGGAGGTATGTATGGCAGTGGGAGAATCTTTCTGTTTGACAGATCTAGGAGCTTTTTCCTGGCCACTCTTCCTCTGAGAGGATCCCCAAGTAAACACGTACGGTTGCACACTATGCTTGAACAAGGACGCCTGTGAACAACCCCTTGTGCAGTGATTCAGGTCTCGGGGAGTGTGAGACAGGGTGGTTTCAATCTCCCTCTTCTCCTCCCAGCTGGGAGAACTGGGCCAGGTCATCTCACCTGTTTATTTTATCATCTGCGGCACCTGGGTGCCATTTGTCAAAAGCATTAGGGCTCCAGGCAGGGGGCATTTCTCAACCCTAGATGTATTGACATCTTAGGACAGAGGATAATTCTTTCTACAGCAGGAAAGTGGGACACAGTGGGGGCTGTTCTGTGGAGTCTATGATGTCCAGTACATCTGTATCCTCAATCCACTCAGCCCCAGTTGTGACAAATTTTCAGCCAGTGCCACAAGTCTCCTGGCAGCAAAATGCACCCTCCCCCAACACACACCAAGTTGAGACCCTGTTATCTTGGTTGTTGATTTCAGTGCACTGTGACTCTGAGTGCTGTGCAGTTACTGGTATACACGTAAGACACCTCCATACTGAGAGATAGTGAGACTGCTGCCCACCACACCAACCTGTTTAAAACATATTAATAACTTTACACCAAAGCAGGCCACCTGAGAGTCTACAAATTAAAAGATCCAGGAGAGTTTGTGGCTCCAGCCTTGATCTGTGTCCCAGTCCCCAGTGGGCTGTAGGATCATTTCTGGACTTTTCCTTGCTGATCCAGCACCTTCAGGGAATTATCTGGAAAGTCATGCAGCCTGTCCCTTGGCGACTCAGTGGTGTGACAGGAAGCCAAGGCTGGGACTTTCTGCCCCGACTCCCTTGCCAGCTATCGTGGGGCAAGGGAGCAGAGCCAGAGTGAGTAAGCTTGCGCGTGCTGGGCTGCACTAGATGTTCACACACCTGAAGTCATTTAACTCCAGCATCTGCAAGGTGCAGATAGGAGTTGGTTTTCTAGATCAAGTGCTTGCTTGTCAGGTTCATACACCTGGTAAGCGAAGGCGTCAGGGTTTGAAACCAGGAGTGATTTAACCTAAGTTCTACTGTCTTCCCACTTTTCTAGGCTATCAAGCCAGAACTTACTAGGCAAGCAACGAACATAAAAAATACAAACCCTCAAGAAAAAAATCAACTCTAACTCCGGTCTGTTTAGACGATAATTAGGAAAGTGTCAGGGATTCAGGGCTTTCTCCTACCCAGTGCTTCCCAGACTCCAATGTGAGGATCACCTGGGGACCTTGCTAGAAACGCAGAATCTGGCTGAGCTGGTCCGGGTGGAGCCTGGGGTTCTGCTTTTCTGTTACCAGGCTCTAAGTTAGGTCAGTCCTGCTGCTCCCTGGACTGCACTTCCAAGCTCTGGCTGCATCAGAAGCACCAGGAGGGCTTCTAAAAGCACAGTTGCTCTAAGTGCAGACTGGTGCAGCTGCCGTGGAAAACATGCGACAGGACTTCAGGACGTGGATCTATCGTGGGACCCAGCAACCCCACGCCTAGCTCTCCACAGCCATCCCTCAGTCGCCACGGGCGATGGGCCCTGCACTCCCTCACCCCCTCCACCATGCCTATCAAACTGTGCGGATGCTGCAGCCCCTCAAGCTCACATAAAAGGGTGCAATGTTGCATAGAAGCTATGCATTTCCTCCTTTATATCATCACTGGATTACTCATAATACTTACTACAAGATAAATGCTGTGTAAGTAGATGTTATACTATATTGGTTAGAGAATAATGACAAGAAAACTGAATTTGAACACATTAACTCTAGACACACTTTTTAAACGACTTCTTTGATCCATAGCTGAATCCACGATGCAGCACTCAGAAAAGGCAGGCCACTTGTGTCTGAGAACAGAAAATACACAAACACTGTCCACAGATGTCCAGAGCAGTATTACTCACGATATAACCCCAATGCCCACAGGCAGGCCACTGGATCCAGAGTGTAGCATATTCACACAGTGAAATATTATTTAGCCTTGAAAAGGAGTGAAGTATTGCTCTGTGTTATGTTATGAACAGACCTGTAAAACATTATGCTAAGTGTAAGAAACCTGGCACAAAATCCATGCATTGTATGACTCCACCTTTAAAAAGTGTCTGGAACAGACAAATCCAGAGAGACAGAAAGCTGACAAGCTGGGGCCTGGGAGATGGCAGAACAGAGTGACTGCTTAGTGGGTGTGGGGTTTCCTTTAGAGGTGATAGCAATGTCCTCAAACTAGGTAGAGGTGATGGCTCCCCAACACGAGTGTGCCAAATGCCCCCTGCATTGCATACTTTAAAATGGTCAAAGTTGTTTTATATTTTATTTCCATAGAGAAAATGTCTAGGGCTCAGCCCCAGAATTTCTGGCTTCATGGGTGTGGATCGGGACCGAGGATTTCTCTAACAGACTTCCAGGTGCTGTGGCTGGTTCTCAACCATGCTTGCAGTAATAAGGTGGTGGACTTTGAAACACCTGGAGCTATAGATGTGGTCAAACTAGGAGAAAACCATCGGGCACTGTTGCTTTCCATAGTACCCTGCTCAGTGGAGAGGAGAACACCTGCCACCCCTCCCAGGCCATGTGCCTGAAATGCGTGCTTCAGCTTGGAGAAGTCCAATGAAGGTGTAAATTTTGTTGCTTGACTTGACTCCAGCTGACCTTGGAAGAAGCAAGACATTGGCTGATAGCCTTCATTATGTTCTCCTGAGACAAGATCATGCTAGTCTTGGCCTGGATTATTAGGTGAGCGTAAGCTAATGCAGGCAGAGAATCTTGGTGCCCCTTCCTATACCACCTCAGGCAGAAAGGTTGCAACATTTCAGCTCCCTGATGTGTTAATAGGGTGTTTATTTGCAAAGCCTTTCCTCTTTCATAATTTCCATGTAGCCATACAGCCTCAGGTTAGAAAAACAGGTATCTTCACCTAGGTGTTGAGAAGTTTGTGAAGTCCTGTGTTCTCTCCAAGGGCATCAAGACCTTTGGCTGGGCGAATATTAGGAAATGTTACCAACTCCTGGCTTATGTCAACCCAAGAGAACCAACACCAGATCTGCAGCCACTGATGGTGGGGGAAGGTGAGAGGAGAAAGGGAGTCTATATTTCTTCCATAAGCTCCAAAATGGTAACTTCCACTTGCCTGTTTTTAGTTCATTCCCAATAATATACCACAGTGGATAGGAAAGACAATGACTACCAGAATGAGTGACAAAGTCAATGCTGAATTTATGCACCTGCCGGACAGGGGCACACAGGCCAGGGAACCAATTCACTGAGTAGTTTGCCGAGGAAGAAAAGGCTGAAGAAATATGTTGGAGAACAAGGGGGTGATGTGTTCATGGGGGGCCATATTAAGAAGGACAAAGTTTGCAGCCCGGGTGTAGGAACAGCAGAGTGAGTCCGGAGTTCTCCACGTGGTTGGTGACAAAGCTCAGGCTGCCGTCACAGATCCATGGCCTTCTACAACATCAACCTGTTATCTCCCAGTTCTGAAGGCTGGGAGGCCCAGATCAAAGTGTCAGCAGGGATGGGTTCTGATGAGGGCTCTGCCTTCCTGGCTTTCAGAGGGCTGTTTTCCTGCTATGTCTTCACATGGCTTTTCCTCAATGTGTGTAGGGTGGGGAGGAGGAGGGAAAGGGAGAAAGAGAAAAAATGAAAATATGAGAGAGAGAGAGAGAGAGAGAGAAACAAACGAGCAAGCTCTCTGGTGTCTCTTATGTGGTCAGACCGAGGCCCCATCTTTCTGACCTCAGAGTCTTCGATACGTGTAATCTGGGGGACACACACACTTAGCCCTTAACAAGGTCACCTGTTAGTTAAGTCAGCTTAACTAACTCCAAGAGTTTCAGCTGTGCGGGAAGAGTAAGTCCCATGGATCTGCTGTACAACACCGTCACTACAGTTAACACTTTTAACTCAAAATCCTGTTAAGGAGGGGCATCTCATCTTAAACGCTAACACAAAAAAAACCTTAAATTTAAAAATTAGAGAATCTAAGCTGGCGCCGCGGCTCACTAGGCTAATCCTCCGCCTTGCGGCACCGGCACACCGGGTTCTAGTCCCGGTCGGGGCGCCGGATTCTGTCCGGGTTGCCCCTCTTCCAGGCCAGCTCTCTGCTGTGGCCAGGGAGTGCAGTGGAGGATGGCCCAGGTGCTTGGGCCCTGCACCCCATGGGAGACCAGGAGAAGAACCTGGCTCCTGCCATCGGATCAGCGCGGTGCGCCGGCTGCAGCACGCCAGCCACGGCGGCCATTGGAGGGTGAACCAACGGCAAAGGAAGACCTTTCTGTCTCTCTCTCACTGTCCACTCTTCCTGTCAAAATAATAATAATAATAAAAATTAGAGAATCTAATGAGGCAGATGAGAAAATTACTTACGTAAGGTCAGCAAGGAAGAAAGCCTTGAGACACTGTGAGTCTAGGTCAATGAGCCTTGGACACCCACAGATACTTTAAACATTAATAGAAAACATTTACCACTAGGTTGGATCTAAAAGGTTGAACCCCACAGTACTTCCATTGTATACTTCTAAACTGGTATAATCTTGGCAGTTTTGCAGGGTTCAACATAACATGAAAGATAAATGTGTCTGAAATGTTTGGTCCAATGCACGTTTTTGTTTGGCTTGATAATGGAGGCTATCATTCGTTCTCACCCTAATTCCTCTGTCATATTTATTGTCTTAGTCCGTATTTATTGTCTAGCAGAGTACCTGAGACTAGGCAATTTCTACTGAGCAGAAACGCATGGACTCACAGTTCTGGAGGCTGGGAGGTCCAAGATCCAGGAGCCAGCATCTGGTGAGGTCCTTCTTCTCACCCATGGTGAAAAGCGGAGGGATAGAGGAGGGGGAAGAGAGGAGCTCTCCCTCCCAAAATAACAGCGTTAATCTGTTCACTGCGCCCTCAGAGCCTACCACCTCTCATGAGGCCCCCCTCCCAACACGCTGCACTGGGGATTTTGCTCTCCACCTGTGCTTTTGAGAGGACGCATTCAGGCCACAGCACTTATATTATCCACACGGCACCCATCATAAGGAGGGCTCGTATTCAGACACACGTGACCAGAAAATCCCCAAGTTCATCGTCAAGAGTTAGTATTCCAAAGGGTCTCTTGGATTGGTTTTAAGTGCAGGTTCCAATTCCATAGCTCTAGGGTGGGTCCTAGTAACCCACATCAGAACAGTGCTGCTGGGATTTTGAAGCAGGTGCACTTATCACTCTCAGAAGCACCGAACATATGGAGCCTTTTGGGCAATTAAGATATAATTGGGAAGAACTTGAGTAGCACCAATGATAGAAAGCCCTTGTCGAGAGCTTACTGTGTGCTATGTACTATTCTCACATATTAATTCATTTAATTTTCCTGACAACCTGTGATTCATATACTATCATTATCCTTAACTAAGTTTGGAAGGCAAAGGAACACAAACATAAAGTGACTTTCCTGAGAACAGGTGGCTAATCAATGGCAGAGCTGGGATTTGAACACAGGCAGTGTTGGCTCCCAGAATCTGGAGCCTAGCCATGGCTGGCTGCCTTCTAGCTGGCCAGTCTTCATCACCTATCAAAATCACGGAACAGTGCAAGCTTATTTCAAAAACGGGGTTACCATGCAAACAACGGTGTGACTTTGCACAAGTTCTTCTTTTAAACCTTCTTTAGTCCTTCTCCCAAAGGAAGGACTTGGTTTTTAAACAGTAAGCTTTTGTTAAATTAAAAATCAGGGACTGGCGCTGTGGTATAGCGGGTAAAGCCACCACTTGCAGTGCCAGCTTCCCATATGGGCACCAGTTCAAATCCTGGCTGCTCCACTTCTGATCCAGCTCTCTGCTATGGCCTGGGACAGCAGTAGAAGATGGCCCAAGTCCTTGGGCCCCTGCACCCACATGGGAGACCCAGAAGAAGCTCCTGGCTCCTGGCTTCAGATTGGTGCAGCTGTGGCCATTGTTGCCATCTGGGGAGTGAACCCGTGGACAGAAGACCCCCCCACCGCCTCTGCCTCTCTGTAACTCTGCCTTTCAAATAAATAAATAAATCTTTAAAAAAATTAAAAATTACTTAAATAAAAATCAGCTGGTCATCTGTGACAAGCTTTGTTTAATTGGAGATTGTTTAATGCCAGATGTTATTCTGAAATTATATCAGTTAAGCCTTGGGACTTTTTGTTTTAGGAGACCGGGTCAAACTTCAAATCAACTTAAACTCAAAATTGAAGAGGATTTTATTAGCTCACCAACTGGCTGGGACCAAGTTTTAAGATGAAGTCATCAAAATTTCCCCCACCAATAATCTTTATTCCTCCTCCAACGCCTCCTTGCTTGTTTTTGCTCATGTGATTTTCTCCACTTACCTTCTCCTACGCTGCAGCAAAAACAGCCCGCTAAAAGCTCTAGTCCACTACCAGTAACAGCGTGACAGTACAACTACATCAGCAGCCAGAAATAAACAGTGAAGCCTCCTCTCCTCCTGCATCCATATCTGTTTCTAAGAAGGGCTGTGACTCAATATGGGGCACCTGTTCACCCCCAACCCCACCTCTATATCCAGGTGGTAGGGGATTCTGATTGGCCAGTCTGCCTCTTTTAATGAGAAGGCAGAACCACCGATGAACAGTCTTCCTGGAAAGACAGGGAGAAGAGGATATTATATGGACCAGACCAAAGCTTTAATAATAATAGACACAGTGGTGATGACTGCCAACAACTATTCTAGAGTGGGGAGAATCACCACATTCCTCAAGTCGTATGTATGAAATGCATGAAGTTTGTATTCCTTAAATAAAATTTTTTTTGGGAAAAAAAGAACTATTATAGGTATCTATTCTTCAATGCCATCCTGTTTTTTAATTTAATTTTTCCCTGAGGTACTTATAGATTTACCTGAAGTTGCAAAAAATATTTTGTGTACCTTTTATCTAGTATAACCCAATTCTTGAATTTTTGCAGAACTGTAGTATGATATTGCTGCATATTGACATTGACACAATCTGCTAGTCTTTGTGTTTTCCCTCATTTTACTTGTACTTGTGTGTGTGTGTGTGTGTGTGGTTCCATACAGTTTTATTATCTCATTTTCTTTTCAATTAAGTTGTGCGGCTTTCAAATGACTGAGGTTAGGCAGCCAAATTCCAGACAGTTTCATTGCGTGACTGGAAATAGCCAATGTGTCTACTGGAAGTCGCCTTTTTAACAAACCACATCTGGGTGAGGCACCAGAGCTCTTGTAATCCACACTCCCTCTCTGTGTAGACATGAACCCAGTGTGTTATGGGGGACCAGGAATACGTAGCTGGAAGCTTATCTAGAAATAAGCATGAATCCTTCTCATGACAATTGTGAACGACAGTTTGGACCTCCCTTTGACAATGAGCGTTAATAAATGTCAGATGTGAGCCATGTTTTATGGTCTCAGAAACTCATGCAGAAAATTTTAACTTTTGGTTGGAGGTAGGGCTCAAGCAAGAGAGCTCAAGGCTAAAAAGCTACTGTCCCACGAACAAAGCAGTCCTCATTGGGAGGACAGCAGAGACAGCCGCAGGTACCAGCAGCTTACTGCAAGCCGGAGTCAGAAAAACGAAGACAAGCACATGTGCGAAAGCCCTGTTTGGTTTCTGAGAACCATCAGCACTGAAAAAGCTGGTGAATCCAGGGTACCTAGAACGATAAGACGAAGGAAACTGGAGCTCCTGCACCCACGCCGGAACTGTTAGGAAAATACCCTGTGGGTTTTAGGCCAAGTAAAACACCTCTGAAGTCATCCCCAGCTTTTGCTGAGGTCCTCTGGACTCTTAAAGTACAGTGTCTTTTTTTTTTTTTAATTAGCATACACATTGGAGCTGATTCTGTGGCATAGTGGGCCCAAGCCTCCACCTGCAGTGCCAGCATCCTTTATGGGCGCAGGTTTGAGTCCCGGCTGCTCCACTTCTGATCCAGCTGTCTTCTATGGCCTGGAAAAGCAGTAGAAGATGGCCCAAGTCTGTAAGCTCCTGCATCCACGTGGGAGGCCTGGAAAAATACCCTGGCTCCTGACCTCAGATCAGCTCAGCTCCAGCTGTTCTGGCTATTCATGGAGTGAATCAGCAGATGGAGGACCTCTCTGTCTCTCTCGCTCAAAAATAAATAAATTTGTTTTTAAAAAATTGACATACACAAACATATTTGCAGTATACCATTTGACAAGTTTAGACGTTTGTGTGTGGCATGAAACTGCTGCCACAGTGAAGACAATGTACAGTCCATCATCCACCATACTTGTCCATCCTCTCTAATTCCTTCCTCTTGCTCCCCACTCCACACACTCCATATTCGTTTGCTGGAGCTACCATAACAAAATGCCATAGACTGTATGGCTTAGCAGCAGAAACTTGTTCCATACAGTCCTGGAGGCTACAAGTCGGAGATGGGTGCCAGCACGGTCAGGTTCTGGTGAGGGCTCTCTTCCTGGCTTGCAGGTGGCCACCTTTTCATTGGGTCCTCACATGGTAGAGACAGAGGTGAGTACTCTCTGGTGTCTCTTCTTGAAAGGGCACGGATCCTATCAAAACGGCCCCACCTTTGTGACTTAATTACCTCCAAGGGTTCCATTTCCAGGTACCAACACACTAAGTATTAGAGCTTCAATATTTGCATGTGGGGGGAGGCACAGCTCAACTACAACACAGCCACCCTGCAGGGATCCACTGCTGTGTTCATTACAGACTCGTTTGCATTTTCTAGGATGTTACACAAAACATACTCTTTTCTGTTTGGCTCTTTCTGTCACCATGCCTTGTTTGAGGTATCCACACTGTTACACTTTTCCAGTTCATTCCTTTGGATGGCTGAGTTGTGTTTCAAAGTACAGCTCTACCCCCAGTTTATCCATTAACCCAATGGATGCTTTTTAAACCGAAGAGCCCTGATGCCATGGGTTCAGTCTTTCTGTTACCTCACTGAGTCTGCTCACTGATGCCAACCCTCACTGTCTTCACTCTTTCATGGTTTCAGTGTCTTCCCCATGAAGATTACCAGGAATGCACCTGAATTCATTCCCTAGGGATGCTCTAACAAATCACCATGAACTGAATGGATTAAAAAAGCGTATTCTTTCATTGATCTGGAGGCCAGTAGTCTAAAGTGTTAGCAGAACTATGCTCCTTCTGACAGCTCCAAGAGAGTATGTCCTTGTTTCTCCCAGCTTCTCACGACCCCAGGTGTTTCTCAACTTGTGACAGTGTAGCCCCAGTCCCTGCCTCCACCTTCACAGGGCCTTCTCTCTGTCTCTATGTGTCCTTGAAAGAACAGTCATCATCAGATGTAGGACTCATCCTAATCCAGGGTAATCTGATTTAGGCACCTCTCCCTTAATTACATATGCAGAGCCCCTCATTCCAAATAGATCATTTCCTGGTTTCCTTTGATCCTACCTTTGATCCCTCCTTCCTCACAGCAGGTTCAAGGATAAACCCAGTTCAAGACTCAATTTCAACAGCATCTAAACTAAACCTGAGTTAACATGGAATAAAGAGCATCTGCCCCAGCCCTAGAATAAGTCCTTCCTCAAACCCTCTTACCCAGATGTGTGTTTTTCTTTACTGCAACAAACGTTAAGCCCAACTTATTCGTGCTGTAGTAGGTGGACTAGTGGGAAGTGGGCCCCCAAGGTATATGTCCACCTGTAATCAGAGAATGCAGGTTGGTTAAACTGGAAGATTGGGGGCCAGTGGGCAGATGCTCTTTACCCCACACAAATCACTTTTCGCTTAGAAGTTGGGCAAGATTGAGCCTTAAACTTGCTTTGTCATTGTACCAGCTGGGATGGAGGAGCCAAAGAAGGCAGGAGTGGATGAAGCCACATAACGGGAGTGACCAAGAGCACGCATTCACTTCAGTACAAAGGGCCCTCATCTGCCTTTATCTACCTTAAGCTCCACTGACAACGTCCTGGTGTACAGTTAGGTGCTGATTAAATATTTGTTGATTGAAGGAATGAAAACAGCAGACTTGATTTCTCTCTCCTGTTCTGTTCCTATAGCAGGGGTCCCGATGGAAAAGATGGCGTCCTATTCCTCCACAAAGGCGGCCCTGACTATGTTTTCATCAGTTATGAGACAAGAGCTTTCCAAATGGGGCGTCAAAGTCGCTGTTGTCCAGCCTGGAGCCTTCCAGACAAGTAGGTGCTTGGGCCTGAGAGCCCCATAGTGGTCATCCCAGAGGCTCCTCCTGGCCTGAGACGGCTCAGATTGACCCCCTCGGTGCTCCCAAAACTGGACTCAGCCAGGCAACAGATAACGCGGTGGAAGCAGACTGTGTTCAGTCACTGCTGACAATGGGGCAGAGAGCTGAGCCCCATGCCCAGCTGTGCAGACTGGGATGTGCTTCTTTTAGAGAGAGAATGAGGGAGGGGAGGGGGGTTGAGCAGACTGAGCAGAAGGAAAGAACAAAGCCTGGGTCAGTGTGGGTGCCTTGGGGCCAGCTGTGTTTGCTGGCAGTTATCAAAGTTTGGATTCTCCCTCTCACAGAGGCTGGGAGACAGGCCTTGTCCTTCTGGGTGGGTGGACGATTCCATTTCAAAGGAATCGCTCTCGGGTCCCTGGAGAGAGATACTTCTGATGTGCAAGATACAAGCAAGGGGTCTTTAAAAAGTTCATGGAAAAGACACAGTATGAAAAAACCGGAATGAATTTCAGAATTTTTGCCCAAAAAGAAACTTTTAACTCTGTTTGCCCACAAAACTTTTGAAGTTTCCTTATATGTACGAATGCAAATATATTTTATAAATAAATGTAATATATTATGTATTATATATGTAATGTAATATGTATTTATAAATATATGTAATATATTTATTCGTATTTACAAATTTAAGTCCTTTTTAGTAGATGCTCGAAGAAAGGATGGCAAATTAGGGGTGCGATGATGAGAACAAGTAGAACAATTTCCTGGCAGTGTGGTGTTTTCTCAGGCAGGGAGCTTAGTGGGAGGCTCGGGTCCACCCAGGCACACAGCCTTACAGTGCTAGAAGCTGTGCTAGAATTTGGTCAAGCCTAGTGTGCTGGGGGTGGAAGGGGCTGTTATGTTCCCAGAGCTCAGCCACGCTCAGTGTCCGCCCGAGAGGGTCAGCCTTGCCCAGGAACCGAGAGGCAGTGTGTGTTCTCCACTACGGCTGCTCAGCTGCCTCTATCCACAAGGAAACTGGGTTGGCTCAGAAGTTGGCAGCAAGCAGAAGCCACGCTGGGTAGGAACGCAGGTCTCCTGGGGCCCACTCAGAACAGGAGCCTTGGTAGGGAGGACTCTATTTGCCACATGGGAGCACCGGTCAGAAATGTCCACAACTGTCATCAGTTTTGATCATTTTTTCGCTCTGCCAGCCAAACCTCTCTTCCAAAATAAAATCCACAAGGCTCACATCAGGCTTATTTATGTGGATTTAGAGCTTATTTTTTTTTATTTGACAGGTAGAGTTATAGACAATGAGAGAGAGAGAAAGGTCTTCCTCCCATTGGTCCACTCCCCAAATGACCTCTATGGCCAGCACTGCACCGATCCAAAGCGAGGAGCCAGGTGCTTCCTCCTGGTCTCCCATGTGGAAGCAGGGGCCCAAGCACTTGGGCCATCCTCCACTGCCCTCCTGGGCCACAGCAGAGAGCTGGACTGGAAGAGGAGCAACCAGGACTAGAACCCGGCGCCCATATGGGATGCCGGCACTACAAGGTAGAGGATTAACCAAGTGAGCCACAGCACCAGCCCTAGAGCTTATTTTCCTTCAAAAGTTTGAGCAGATACCCCGGGTAACATTTGTTTTGTCTCCCATTCTCATTGGCCAAGATGGTTCTTTTTTCCAGAGTCTCTGCATTTTGAAAACAGTATTTTTCTTCTCCCCCTTGAGGAACACAACTCTCCTCCTCCCCACTGTGGGAGGGGGTGGCCGTGCTCTCCTTCCGCACTCTGGATTTGTGGTCTCTGGGCATAGACGGGGCCACCCCAAGCCTCAGTTCTGGGTCGTCAAGCATTTGATCAGTGATTTCAATGAAGATGTAAAAGCTTGTCTAACGAAAGACCACGAACTAGAGGAGGTATTGTTAACACACTGAAAAATAACCCTAAAGGTTTGACCGTTAGCCCAAATGTACCTGGTAAAATCTGAAAAGATCAACTGAACTTCTGGCTTGAAGTGCTCAGCTGCTGGGACCCTCACAAGGTTGTGGAGTTTGCTCAGGTCTCCACGAAGGGGTTATGCTGGAAGAGAGACTGAGAGGCAGGGCCATGGGCCACGCAGGGTGAGAGGCTGGACCAGGGCAGCAGGAATGGAAAGGGATGAAGTTTGCATCTGGGGGAGGGAACTTGAGAGGAGTTAGTAGAGAAGGGCAGTGGACAAAGACAAAGCCGAGTGTGCCAGACTGCGAGACAAGGCTAGAAGGGAATTCAGGAACCTGGCAGCACAGTTGAAGGCTTAGTGATGTGGCCCAAAGGAAAATTCCAACCCACAAATGTATGACATGACTGGGACAAGCAAGCAACTCTGCCATTAAGTTACAGTTTCAAGGATTCAGTGTCACGGTCACAGCTAAGCTTTCTGGGGAGTGACTTTTATCAGGTGCTGGGCCACTGGCTTTCTATGCATTCTTTCCTGGGGTTCTTCATTTTGTGTTTTAAATTTTATTTATTTATTCAAGAAGTAGAGGGACAGACCAACAGACAGAAAGACAGAGCTGGTTTGTTCCCTAATTTCCCACAATGGCCTGGGCTAGAGTAGCCCAAGGCCTGCAGCTGGGAACTCAACCTAGGTCCCCCACAGGGATGGCAAGGACCCAGTTACTTGAGCCATTGAGAAATGTATCATATGTACAGAAAAAAAGATATTTAACACATGTAGGTTCCAAAATCTGTATATATGAAATACATGAAATTGTATAATAAAATTTAAAAAAACTTACTAATAACGCCCATATATTTAATGCCCAGATCAAAAAGTAAAACACCAGCAGCATGTACACGGTCCTCTTCCTCACAGCCCTCTGCTCTCCCGATAGATAACCACCCTCTCGCTTTCCGTCAGGATCACTCATCTGCTTTTCTTCACAGTGTTACATCCATGTGCACAGCCCAAACAACAGAATTCACTGGGCTTTAATCCCTTGAGCACCTGAAGTGGAGTCAATACATGTCTGCCTGTTTGTGTCTGGGTCTCCCCTTCAGCAGCCTGATTTTCCAGTTCATCTACACTGTGTGTGGCTGGAGCTCACTTCCACTGCTGTGTAATATTCTGCCAACGTGCTACAGTTTTCCTACTGCAGATGAGATACCTGATCACCTCTCCTTTGGGACAGTTATGGCCAATACAACTATGGACTTTCTGCTGTGTGCTCTGTGGTTTTAGGGTGCATGAGTTTTCCTATGACACATACTCAGGAGTGGAGTGACTTACATCATATGCTTACCCATCTTCAGCACTACTGCCCACTAGCAAACGGTTTCCAATTTCTACTCCCACCCTTTATGTACAAAAGTACTTTCAAAAGTTCATAAAGGGGCCGGCATTGTAGCACAGTGGGTAAAACAGCCACCATGGACGCATGTGTCCCATAAGGGTGCTGGTTTGGGTCCCGGCTGTGCCAATCCAGCTCCCTACTAAGGTACTTGGGAAAGCAGCTGAGAATGGCCCACATACTTGGTCCCTGCAACCATGTAGGAAACCCAGATGAAGCACTTGGCTCCTGGCTTTGGCCTGGGCCAGCCCTGGCTGCTGGACCATTTGGGGAGTGAACCAGCAGATGGACGATTTCTTTTTCTCTGTCTCTCCGTCTCTCTGTAACTCTGTTTTTCAGAAAACTAAGTACATCTATTTTAAACAACAAAAAGTTCAGACAAAGCAAAATTGAAGGGTATTTATCTGGTGTGAAAAAATTTTGAAATCTATGCATACAAGGGGTCTTCAAACAGTTCATGAAAAAGCTATACATGAATTTCATTTTTTTGCAACAAAATTCATTTAACTCTCAATTCCATTTTTCCACTACTTTTTTTAAAGTTTAAACATTTTCATTTACGTGGGAGGCAGACACGGAGGGAGACAGATAGAGGGAGACAGTCCCCGTCTGCTGGTTCACTCCCCCAAATGCCCACAATGTGCAGGAATGGGCTGGGCCAAAGTCAGGAGATAGGAATTCAATCCAGGTCTCCCACATGGGTGACGGGGACACAATTACTTGCGCTATCACGGTTGCCTCCCAAGGTCTTCGCTATCAGGAAGCTGGAGTCAGGAGCCAGAGCAGGGCATCGAATGAACCCCAATATTCTGATATGACAGGTGTCTTTAGTAAGTGTCTTCGTTGCTAGACAATATGCCCTGTCTTTATATGAACCTTTTGAAGCAGCCTCGTAATGTTTTAATCTTCACCACCTCTCTAAGGGGTACGTTCCATCGACATTCTTCTCCAGGTGAGGGTGCTGAGGCTGAGTAGGTAGGTTGCCCCGTCGTGGTGCTAGGTTGCTAGGTACACCATGGGGTGTGGTACTTGGTTCATTCTTTTATACCAGGCTGCCCCTAGATGAGCTCTCTGAAGGTAGGAGGCCAGACAGCAGAGGCCAAGAACTCGAGCAGGGACTTCCTGTCTAGATTTCATTGAAGGTGGGGAGTAAGGAAAAGAATCCTCACAGACACAGTCAAGGAGCTTTTTTTTTTTTTTTTTTTTTTTTTTGACAGGCAGAGTGGACAGTGAGAGAGACAGACAGAGAGAAAGGTCTTCCTTTGCTGCTGGTTCACCCTCCAATGGCCGCCACGGCTAGCATGCTGCGGCCAGCGCACTGCGCTGATCCAATGGCAGGAGCCAGGTGCTTCTCCTGGTCTCCCACGGGGTGCAGGGCCCAAGCACTTGGGCCATCCTCCACTGCACTCCCTGGCCACAGCAGAGAGCTGGCCTGGAAGAGGGGCAACCGGGACAGAATCCGGTGCCCTGACCGGGACTAGAACCCGGTGTGCCGGCGCCGCAAGGCGGAGGATTAGCCTGTTGAGCCGCGGCGCCGGCCACAAGGAGCTTCTGAAGACGTTCAAAGAGGTAGACCAGACTTTCTTAGGCCTCTACAATGAAAACAGCTGAAACACATTGCATAGTTGGCAGATTTTAAGCACTGTATGTGAAGTGTTTCACTTAATCCTTACTAACAAAGTAGTCCCATACTGCACTGAGAAAACCTAGACTCAGAGATCCTTTCAAGCCATAGAGGTGATATGAGACAGAGATGGGATTTCGATTTGGGTCATGTTGAAGAGTTCACCATGGGTAGCTCCAAGTGGCAGGGCAGGGACTGACAACGTATGTCAAATGTGGCAGATAATGGTTGACAAAAAGCTGACAGCCAGGCCACCCATAAAGAGGACTTTGGAGACTCTGGACAGGATACCCACAAGAACTGTCAGAAGTCCACGAAATTGGGGAGGAAGAGGAGAAGGAAAGGAACTGCTCTATGAAGGTAGAGACTGGGGAGAGGTTGCAAGAGGAACCATGGTTCAGGCACACATTTTCCAAGACTCACCTGCCTCCAGAGTAATTGTCAGGACAATTTTTTTTTTAAAAACATAACATTGTGCCTTAGGAAACAAGCAATTGAAACCGTGTTTGAATTTTCATGAGTGTAATTGGATTTCACTGGCTTCCATTTCACAGCCAGTCTTCCCTGTAGTCCTGATCCCGGGACTCACCAGGCTAGCAATCACGGAGCAATTCTGCTCTTTGCAGGATGCAGCCTGCATGGAAGTAACATTTTGGAAACCTATCTGGCAGTGGCCATTGAAACTCAAAATGCATGTGCCTTCTGACCAGGTGGTCACACTGAGGTCTCTACTATAGGTAAGAGAAGGCCAGGTTCAAACAGGAACATTGAGTCCGCTTCCTGCTCACTGTGGTGTTGCTCGTAGCAGTGAAAATGGTCCACTGAGGACTGTTCATGGAAAATGCTGTTGTTCTGGTTGAAATCGAAGCTGTTGCTGATTAATTATTTATATACCCAGCCACGGACCAGAAGGAGTCTCTGACTTACTATTAAGCAAAACAAAACAAAGCAAACAGCAAAACAAAGTACTAGAAAAAAAGAAAAAAGCAAATTCCCACAAGAAATGTATAGCATGTTCCCTTTTTTGTTCTTTCTTGGTAAAATAAAATTAATCTAAAGCCTTCTATGTATACATACATACATATATATGCATATATTTACAAGGAGGGGTGGTAGAAAGGTACATAAAACTGTTAATTAAGATGAGATTGCTTTGAAAAGCATTATTAACTATATACTGAGCAGGCTTTGCTGTCATTTTTAAGTAACTATTATTTAATTTTATACTAAAAGAAGGCGCCACTGTATTAAAATTCTATTTATATTTAATTATATGTAATTTATGTATTTTTAAATCTACATTTAAATTATATTAAATTACATTTAGTATATATTTTAAAAATTAAATCAGTGATACCATTACATGGATAAAATATTTAGAATAATGAATTTAACTTTATAGAAGCATTCATTACTTCCATATTTTAAAAATCTACTATGTGCATACTATATATGTATGTGTATGCATATTAGTATGCATGTATATAATATTATGTATCGTAGATGTTACATATTATGTGAGGTTACTTCAAAAAGTTCAGCGAAAATGGAATTAAGTTTATTTTGATACAAAAAAATGAAATCCACAGAGTTCTCCCGTATTTCCATGAGCATTGTGAAGATCCCTTTTATGTAGAACAGTCACCTGAGGACACAGAATGCTTGTGGCAGCCTTGTGTATGAGAGCCCCACTTTGAAACAGCACCAATGGGCATCATGGTGTAATGGATAACTGATGGGATATTTGCACCCTGGAAAACTACGTGCAAGGAGAATGAACACACGACACGTGAATAAAACTCACAAATGTGATACTGAGAAACAAAGCTAATGCTGAACAGTAGGCACCTTATGATTCCATCTACATACTTTGCCAGAGACCAGGAAAAACCACGTACCCCGGTGTGGGGACACTGGCTGCCCAGAGGCGGGTGAGGAGAGCTCCGGGCTGGCCCTGTTCGGCTCCTGTTCTGATGTTGGTTACACCAGTGGCTCCGTTTATGCCAGTGTTGTCCCTGTGCGCTATTCTGTGCGTAGGTTTAAAGGTGAATGCCGTTAGAAAGGACACATGGCACATGACACATGACACATGAGGCCCACGCGCAAGCACCTGCTAGCCTGACTCCCCCTCGCTTGCCTGGCCCCTGACCCTTCATTTCCTCTCACATCCTAGAAATCACAGGCACGAGTGACATGTGGGAGATGCACGAGAAGAAGATCCTGGAGCACCTGCCCCGCGAGGTGCTGGCGGACTACGGCGAGGACTACATCCTGACGCTGAAGCACTTCCTGGCACACCTCCTGGACACGGCCAGCCCCGACTTCTCCCCGCTGATACTCGACGTGCAGCACGCCCTCTGTGCCAAGCACCCTGCTGCCTTTTACTCCCCAGGGAAAAGGGCCTTCCTGTGGCTCTGCATGGCCTCCATCTTCCCTACTGGCTTAAATGATTATCTTTGGAAAACAAATGCTACGAAAGCACGGCACATGCCCAGAGCGCTTAGCCTGCCCAACAGGAATAAGGCCATGTAGGCCTCAAAGTTGAGGAGAGGGAGAAGGACGGGGAGGGGGAGAGGAGGGAGGCGCTGTTACCCTCTTGGAGTGAAAGGGAAACTGAGAGCTTCCCCTTAGAGTTGATTCCTACTTTGCATTCCCTGTGAGATCTGTTGGGTAGGGTTCTGCAGTGAAAGACACCAAGTGGTGGTCCACACTAGAGAGAGTGTTAAGCGGGTCCCTTCTACACACATACACATCTCAGATACAGACCCAGCTCAGACATAACTGCGGGCCCCTTCAGACCATCCCAGTAAATCCTGTGTCACAATAAAGGGAGTCGCATCAATTTTTGGGTTTCCGAGGACAAATAAAACTTATGTTTACACTATTGAGAGTGCAATAGCATTATCTCAAAAAAGAAGTGTAGATTTTAACTTTACAATACTTTATTGCTCAAAATGTTAAGGATCTGCAGAGCCTACAGCGAGTCATCTTCTTGCTGGTAGGAGAGGTCTTGCCTCGACGTTGGTGGCCACTGAAGGTTTTGGCGGCAATGGGTCTGCCCTGCGGACTGACTCCCCTTTCCCAAACGACTCCTCTGCGGCATGCAATGCTGTTTATGGCACATCGCCCCACAGCAAAACTTCTTTCAAGATTGCAGTCAGGGGCGGTGCTGTGGCCTAGCAGATAAAGCTGCCGCCTGCAGTGCCGGCATCCCATATGGGCATCGGTTGAAGACCCAGCTGCTCCACTTACGCTCCAGCTCTCTGTTATGGCCCGGGAAAGCAGAGAAGATGGGTCCCTGCACCCATGTGGGAGACCTGGAAGAAACTCCTGGCTCCTGGCTTCAGATCAGCTCAGCTCTGGCCGTTGCGGCCAAATGGGGAGTGAACCAGTGGATGGAAAACTCTCTCTCTCTCTCTCTCTCTCTCTCTCTCCACCTCTGCCTCTCTGTAATTCTGCCTTTCAAATAAATAAATAAATCTTAAAAAAAAAAAAAAAAAGATTGGAGTCAATCCTCTCGAATCCTGCGGCTACTTGCTCTCCTCCATCTGTCGTATTCTGTGCCCGTGGCTGTCATTTCAGCATCTTTCACAGCATCTTCAGCAGGAGTGGATTCCATCTCCAAAAACCTACTCCTGGGCCTGAAGCATCCACAGCCCCTGAGAACCCATTAGAAAGCAGGTTCTCAGAAGCCACCCCAATCCTGCCGCAACAAATCACCACACACCTAGCAGTGTAAACCGACACAAACTACCGCCATGCAGTTCTTTTGGTATTGTTCTTGTTGTTGTTTTTCTTTTCTTTTTTTTTTTTTTTTTTTTTTTGACAGGCAGAGTGGACAGTGAGAGAGAGACAGAGAGAAAGGTCCTCCTTCACCGCTGGTTCACCCTCCAATGGCCGCCGCGGCCGGCACGCTGCAGCCGGCGCACGGCGATGATCCAAACCCAGGAACCAGGTGCTTCTCCTGGTCTCCCATGCGGGTGCAGGGCCCAAGCACTTGGGCCATCCTCCACTGCACTCCCTGGCCACAGCAGAGAGTTGGCCTGGAAGAGGGGCAACCGGGAAAGTATCCGGCGCCCTGACCGGGACTAGAACCCGGTGTGCCGGCGCCGCTAGGCGGAGGATTAGCCTAGTGAGCTGCAGCGCCGGCTGTTGTTGTTTTTAAGATTCATTTTATTTATTTGAAAGGCAGAGTGACAGCGAAGGGGAGAGAGACAAAGAAAGAGATCTTCCATTTGCTGGCAAACTCCCCAAATGGCTACAATTAGCCCGGGCTGGGCCAGGCCATAGCCAGGAGTCTGGAGCTCCATCCAGTTCACTCACATGAATGGCAGGGTCCGAACACTTGGGCCATCTTCAGCTGGGTTCCCAGGTGCATTAGCAGGGAGCTGGAGCAGCTGGGACCGGTCCAGCTCTCTGATATGAGATGCCAGCATCACAGGGGTTGCTTAACCTGCTATGCCACTGTGCTGGCCCCTGCCTTGCAGTTCTGAGGCTCAGAATCTGAAATGGATCATACAGGGCTAAAACCAAGTGTTCAGCCAAGTTGTGTTCCTTCTGGAGGCTCTAGGGAAAAATCTATTTCTTGCTTTCACCAGCTTCCCATGGCCTCCACCCTTTTGCTGTGTCTGTATCACTTCCCTCTGTGTCCATCGTCACCGCTTCTGTCACCTGCCCTCTCTGCCTCCAATTCATAGCAACCTTCTTTTTATTAAGTTTTATTTATTTGAAAGGCAGAGTTACAGAGAGGCAGAGGTGAAGAGAGAGAGGAGAGAGAGGGAAAGAGAGAGAGAGAGTGGTCTTCCACCCACTGGTTCACTCCAGTGAACCACATGGCCACAACAGCCCCATGCTGCACCATTCCGAAGCCAGGAGCAAGACACTTCTTCCGGGTCTCCCACGTGGGTGCAGGGGCCCAAGGACTTGGGCCATCTTCTACTGCCTTCCCAGGCCACAGCAGAGAGCTGGATTGGAAGAGGAGCAGCCAGGACTCAAACCGGCAGCCATATGGGATGCCGGCCCTGCAGGAAGCGGCTTCACCAGCTATGCCGTAGCACCGGCCCCCATAACACCCTTCTGATTACATTGGGAAATCAGAGATAACCCCAGGATGTTTAATTTAATAACATCCGCAAAGTACCTCTTGCCATGTAGGATAACAATTTTATAGGCCTCAGGGATTAGTGTGTCATTCTGATTGTTAAGGGCAATTTTCTAATGACCTCACCTGCAGAATCAGCACCTCTGGGGGTGGGGTTGACCTGTGTTGCCATGAGCCCTCCACTTTGAGCCTCACAGTAAGCAGGCTGCTGGATGTGTGATCAGATTACAAAAGAAATGGAAATGCTCTTTGAAGACTGTGAGAGAGAGAAAGCAGGAGAGTTGAGACTGAGTGCAGGGCCTACTGTTTCCCAGCTTCCCTGAGGTTGAGAACAAAGAGGCATGGTGAGCGGGTGCTGAATAGAGGCCCAAACAGATCTGAGAGTCCCCGGTCGGAGAGACTTACATCCTTGTCCACATTATTTTAGAGTTGCCTGGGAGGAAAAGAAACCGCTCATTGTCTCCGTTTGGGCCGCTATAATAAAATGCCGTAGACTACAGGGCTTCTAAACAATAGCAAATTATTCTGGAGGTCGTGAAGTCCCAGATCAGGCTGCTGGCAGCTTTGGGGCTTGGTGAGGGTTTGTTTCTCATAGATGGTGCTTACTATGTGGCCTCATGTGGGGAAAGGGATGAATGAACTCCTCAGGCCTCTTATAAGCACACGGATCCTGTTTGTGGGGTGTGGGGAGCAACTCGGACTATACTGTTACTGGAATTAAGACTTATTCTATGAATCTGCTCTCCCACAATGTGGCGCTAGGAGAGGAGCGAACAGCTTCTACCCAGCTGCCTCTCACCAACTTGACAAGCTGCAGGAGCCGCTCCTGATTGGAGGAGAGCAGCGTACTTGGCGTGTGGGTAGCAGAGTTGGGATTGGTGGAAGAGGACTATAAAGGAGGAGAGAGACAACATGCATCAGGAACATCTAAGGAGAACATCTATCTGAAGGAACACCTGTGCAGCCCCCGAGAGAGCCGGCCGGCGGTGTGCCGCTCCCCCGCGGAAGTGGGGAAAGTGGCTAGGGGGAACCGCCCTTCCACGGAGGTGGAAGGGTCGGTAGCCAACCCGGGAAGAACCAGCAGCAAACCCGGGGAGGGCCGAGCAGACAAAAGAACAGCGCAGGGTCTTGTGTTGTTCCTCCATGAAGAGGGGGAGCGACAGTGGGGTTCCTCCTTTATGCCCTAGTCAGTTTGCCAAGACCCCACCTGGTAATATGAGCCACCTTTCACCATGCATTTGGGGGCAGGGGAGTACTAAACATCCAGCCCATAGCACCCATCATGACTCCCTGGGCTGTGGGTGGGAGTGGGGAGGTCTGGAAAAGCTGCCGAGGCTCCTGGAGAGGGCGAGGAGGATTGTAAAGGGGCTTGAGTTGAGAACCGGGTGGCTGCGGGCAAGTGACAGATGTGGTTGCAGAGGCACTCCCACAGGCAGCCCTGAGCCGGGCTCAGTGAGGATGAGAATCGCAACCAGAGGATGAGACTGACCCCCTTGCCTTGTGCCAGGAACGTGCACCAACCCCTGGGAACCACATCCCGAGGAAAAGAGGAGAAAGAGAATAGAGAGTGAGAATCTAATTCATCTGGGTTGAGTGGGGGGATGTTGGAAACCAGAAGAGGCTAAGCTATCTGAAAGTATTATGGTGAACCCAAGTAGATTTCATTTTTAGACCAATAAAAGGGGGCTTCAAAGATTCATGGAAATCAAATTAAAAACAAGTTTATCTTAGTGCAAACTATTTGAAATCCATGCATTGTTTTTTCTATAACACCTGTTTTCCATGAACTTTTAAAAAAAAATTAGACATGTTCTTGAATAACAGAGAGAGAGAGAGAGAGAGAGAGAGAGAGAGGGAGGGAGAGAGTGAGAGAGAGAGATTGGCCTGCTCCCTAAATGGCAAGGGCTGGGCTGAGGCTAGAGTCGAGACTGGTGACTCAATCTTGGTCTCCCACATGGGTGGCAGGGACTCAACTTGTCACTCCCCCCCTCGCAGAGGAACGACACCGTCCCAAGTTTGCTGCCAGCCCCCCTGCCTCCGCGGAGGGGCGGCACCCCCGCCACTTTCCCCGCTTCCACGGAGGAGCGGCACACCACCGGCCAGCTCCCTCAGGGGCTGCTCAGCTGTTGCTCAGATGTTCCCGGTGCATGTTGTCTCTCTCCTCCTTTATAGTCCTCTTCCACCAATCCCAACTCTGCTGCCAACACGCTGAGCACGCTGCTCTCCTCCAATCCGGAGCAGGATCAGCTCCTACAGCTTGTTAGTCGAATTGGTGAGGCAGCTGTGTGGAAGTTGTTTGCTCTCTCTCAGCGCCATATGGTGGGAGATCAGATGCATAGAATTAGTGTTAGGTCCAGTAATTTAGTCTAGTCTCGGTTGCTCCCCACACAACTACTTGAGTTGTCAGAGCTGCTGCCCAAGGACTGTATTGGAGTGAACCTGGAGCCAGAAACCAGAGCTGGGCCTCAGACTCAGGGACTCTGACGGGGGATGCAGGCAGCTGAAATGCCAGGGTAAACACCTGCTTCTCCACAAACTTTTCGAAGGCCCCTTACACATGCAATTCTTCAGCACACAGAAGAGACAGACATTATACATGAACAGCCTTCGTGCCTTGACCATGTCGTGTCCACGAAGTCATTGATGCTTCCTGTTTTATTGTAGAAAACCAATGAGAGGTAACAGCAGAGTCAAACCCCTACTGCATCCTCAATTATCACATCCTAGGAGAAGGCATAGAGGAAAAGGCGATCCAACAACAGGCCTCCCAGCCAACTGCACTG